AAGTCTTGACGATCGACCTGCACGCGTACAGCTGGAACTTGCTTGGTGTTGTGGGATACCTGTTTGGCAAGACGACGGGCCCAGGAAAGGTGCGCGTGGAGGAAGCAAAGCTGTGGACAGAGAAGGAGCACCTGTGGGTGTTGGTCGATGAAGCAATCCCGAGGTATCAAGGTATGCCCTGCCGCACTAATGCCTTATGGAGGCTGTTGTTCCTCAAGAGGATGCTTCGTAATGCAGGCTTTCATTGCATCATGCTGGGTACCAACACTCTGGTGATGAATTTCAACAATGCTTTACAGCAGACGAGAAATAGCCGAGGCAAGAACCAAGAGACTATCAAGTGCATCACCCATCGAGCTCTTCCTCCGATGATCCTTCAGTCTGATGAGCAGCGCGATATCCTGAAGCAGGTGTTTGGGGAAGAGATGATTGAGGGGTTGCTCGACAATGTCAACCCCATGCTCTGCCACCTATTCTTCAAGTATTGGAGAGGTGGACAAGGGAAAGATAGCGCGACCTTGTTTCGAGATCTAGCAAATCCACTGTTGGCCTTAGTACGAAGTGACAAGAAAAGCCTCAAGGACTCATCGTTGTACTGTATGTTTCAGATAGCAACGCACGAAAGCATGTGCCAGGCGCACATCTTGCAAGGCTTTGGTGTCCTCAATGCTTGGCCGATGAGCCAAGTCCCTGCACGCGGCAGCTCGGAGTCAATCGTTGAGCTTAAACGGACCGACAATCAGATTGAGATGAATGGGATCGAACTCAACGACTTAACTAGCAAGTTCCCGCCAAGCTGGGTAGACCCCATCACCGTCGCGATCTGTGCTGGCGGGGGGAGACCTTTCGGGAACAACTCGAGCCTTGAGGTGTTGAGGAGGATCCACCGAGACGCTCTCAAGCCCATGGATGATCCAACAGCAGTAGATGCGCTGCGCCGAGACGGGAACCTGCTGGAGTCGTTTGGAGGAGTCGTGGTGATGTTGACGAGCTGGGCCGATCCTGAGGACATTCTTTCAACCCTCAGCCATCATTGCGGAAGGGAAGTGAGAGGCAAAGTGAAGGAGGTGCTTGGTTGCGTGAAGGATGAAGCATCAGCACGGGAGTTCCGCAAAGTCTTGACTCAGTGCTTCTGTAATCTGATCCCCTTGCGGGACGGTGACGATGAGATGCCTAACCATAAAGCTTTCGGGTACTACATTCGATGCAAGGACAAGCGGAGACGGGACGGAGAGTTTGTGGGCCCCGTCCACAGTCCTGATGGCCAAAGCAGCATGAGGGGAGCAGCGGAGTTTAAGAACCGGAGAAAGCCTCTTGGTCAATCGCAGCTCACGAAGTTTGTGAAGAAACTAGCCAACGACAATCACAACCTCCTGTTGTTCATGGCTCCGGCGCTAGGAGAGTTCAAGGCTGAGAACATCCTACCGACAGATGGAGATGCCACGTGGTTGGTTCTGCATTGGACGATGGACACAACGAAATACTCAGGATGGCACACTGAGGTGTTAGGCGGAAAGGCGAAGTGCAAAAGTCATAGGATACTGATCCTTATGGAGATCGGGCTGTCAACGAAACCTTTTAGTGGATGACGAGGACCCGTGAAGATGGATGACGAGGACCCGTGAAGATGGATGACGAGGACCCGTGAAGATGGATGACGAGGACCCGTGAAGATGGATGCCGAGGACCCGTGAAGATGGATGACGAGGACCCGTGAAGATGGATGACGAGGACCCGTGAAGATGGATGACGAGGACCCGTGAAGATGGATGACGAGGACCCGTGAAGATGGATGACGAGGACCCGTGAAGATGGATGACGAGGACCCGTGAAGCAACCGGGAGATGATCGCTCAGAGACGCAGACCAATGAGGGATGCTGGACTCGGTAGAAAAGGAGAACGAGAGACCGAGAAAAGATGAAGAGACGCTAGATCGATGACGAAGCGACGAAGAGGACGTGAGAGCTTTGTTTGTGCTGGTCTTGTCTGGTAATGAAGCATCCTCTTGAGGAACAACAGCCTCCATAAGGCGTTGGTGCGGCAGGGCATACCTTGATACCTCGGGATTGCTTCATCGACCAACACCCACAGGTGCTCCTTCTCTGTCCACAGCTTTGCTTCCTCCACGCGCACCTTTCCTGGGCCCGTCGTCTTGCCAAACAGGTATCCCACAACACCAAGCAAGTTCCAGCTGTACGCGTGCAGGTCGATCGTCAAGACTTCCTGCTCGCATTTTGTTGGGTCAAGGTAATCGATCCTGCGATCACACGCCTGGAGATCAAGATCGATGGCTGCATTGATCATGTGCGAGATGCCTCGTACAATCAGATATAAATCCTGTTCCTGGATGTATCCGAACAAGCAATAAAGCGATGTCTTTGGATTTCGTACGAAGTAGTCTACAGCACTCAGCGATTTCCCGCTCCCCGAGCATGCCTCGATCATACAAGTAACAATCCCGGCTTTTCTTCCCGCTTCTGCTACTACTTTGTCGATGGGGTTCCTTTGGCTGAATGCTCCCGTTCTTGATCCCAGCACTTCGCCTAGGTATCTCTTCAGCGTGTCAACGACCTCTCCCAGCGCAATGCGATACTTGAGAGACACCGCATGCAACACTGCAGGAAAACATTCAGCGCTTCGCCTTTTCAAACCACCTCAACCCTCCGCACGGCAGCACACAATCTCAGCAAGTACAGGTTACCTTCCGTATCCAACCGCATAGGCAAAGATGCATCAAAGTCTGCACGCTTGCACTGATTGAGGTACAAAGAGCGCTGCAAATCATCTACTAACTGGGTCTGATTCTTGGTTTGCGCATCAACTAGCTTCGCCTCCGCGACCTCGACCTCCCCTCTCAGCTTCGCCTTCGCGACCTCGACCTCCCCTCTCAGCTTCGCCTTCGCGACCTCGACCTCCTCTCTCAGCTCCGCCTTCGCGACCTCGACCTCCTCTCTCAGCTCTCGTCCCCAGCCTTGTTCGCTGCCCCCAGCTTCGCTTCCACGACCTGAGATTGGAGATCATGATGAGGAGCGGTAAGGGAATAGGTCGTAGATGTTCTAAGTGAGGTCAAGGTAATATTGGGTACGGTCGGACCCCAATTGGCCACGAGGATATCGGTGCGAGAGGCTATGGCGCCGGCAAAAACGAGGGATAACAAAGAGGGAGGAGGCGGGGGAGCGAGAGACAGGGAGGACATGGCGGCAGGGGGCGAAGGACACGATACAGGCAAGTCGGCAGGCAAGCACGGCAGGGCAAACGAGCACAACCATGGCGATGAGAAGGTAAGTTAGGTCGCCCCCCAAAGCTCGTTGCTTGCCATGCTCATTTTGCCGACTTCCATCTTCTCCTTTTCCTGCTCTTGTTGATGTCCAACTTGATGTGCAATGATGAGAACGTGCTATCATCTCCCGTCCTTGAACGTAGCTACTTGTTTCATTTGGCACACTCCTCGGCATGAGCCCCCCACCTCTCCCTATGGTTGAGCCAGCAGCTGCTGCCTTACCTCACGCGTGCTCGCAGGACTTCGTCTTGGTCGATGTGTTCTCGCAAGTCGTCAAGGTTCCCATCAGGGCAGACACTTCGGTCTCAGACGTGTGCGACCACCTCGCATCGCTATACCCAGAGCTCACCCCTGAGCACCTGTACACTTGTGACGGCTGCGAGTTGATGATGGAGGACTTGCTGTGCAATGTGTGTGTAGCAGGAGAACACCTGCTGCTGGCGTTGGGAGCAACCGACGATGAGAGGAAACGGTCTACTGTGCTGAGCTCCCTCGGAATCTTCCATGGGGTTCCCAGGACTGCGTTTCAGCCGATGCCAGCGAGAGTGACGTCGTCGTCCTCATGTTCCCTCCTGACAGGTCAGTGTATCCTCAACCCGAGGATAGCCTCCTCCTTGAAGAAGCTCTACATAGCAGTAGAGGGAGAGTGCCATTCAAGCCTGACTTATGGGTTGAGGGCTGACTCTGCCCAGAAGCCGCGCGTTCTGACGAGTGTGTGTGTGGACACGTCGAGCTTGAAGCATCTTGTCGTGGTCGGAGGAAAGTCAAACTTGAATAGCGTCGGGGACCTCGTCCGATGGGTGAGGGCGAGGATGGGAGGTATCCCTTCCTGGGTTCGCTTGCATGCGTACGTCTTCTCCAACCTAGGGAGTGATGTTCGCGAGGACGAGAGTGAGAAGGATTGGTTCGAGGAGCTGGATGACAGGTGAAGGAGTTGTTCTCGTCTTCATCACCTGGTGTTCTGCTGCCAGCACTGCCATCCCGGTGCTGTCCAAGAACGAGAATCTTCTCATCAGTACAGAGGTTACGCCAGGTTCAAGGACAACATTAGCGACCTGATGCGAACTGACGTGAAATTGTTGATGTCAGTTGTGTTATCGAAGAAGGATTCATTGGTGTGGAAGACAACTCACGACGGAGGTCAGGCGATGTACGGAAAGAAGGCCCTTGCCTTCGATCCCTTGAGGTTGGACGATTTCAGCTGCCTCGTCGAGAGCCTGGTACCGATCCCACGACCTCTTGTCCGATGTTGGGTAAACTGTCACCACAGGCCGACTCCTTCAATTTTTTACACAAGATGCAGCTGTGTGCTACGGAGGTAGCAGGGATGGGGACATTTCTCAACGGGGAGGTTCGTTTCAATGGTATCCCAGTGGAAATTCCGTCCTTGCAGGATCTGAGGATCACGTTGCGGATCACCTCGCGCTCCGAGTCAGCGCACAACGGGGGGAAGAGCCTTGTACTGAGGCCTTACTTTGGGGACGAGAGTGTCTGGTGTCACCTCCCCCCTCACGGCCACGTCCTTCCCTTCTTCTTCACCGCTGGGCCTAACATGATCTTCACTCCGTGCTTGGAAACGGTCCTGCCTGCCTGCCAGCCTGCCTGCCTGCCTACCTGCCTGTCATTCTCTTCTTCCTCCCTGTGTGTGTGTGTGTGTGTGTGTGTGTGTGTGTCGTTGTCGTTGCGTTTTCTCAGCATTCCTTGATTGTATAAAGTCCCTGCTCGTTATGTGTGCGCTGGAGAAGCTTTCTCTTTCATCTGACGTCAATCGCAGATTGACGTGCTCAGCTGGGCGACGTCTCCTCAGATCAAAGTACTTGTTGTTTTCCCACAAAAATGTTCTTCTCACTGCTGTATCAGTCTTTCTCGAAGGACGATCTCATCATTCTCATTTCGAGAATATCAGCGCCCAGGTATGACAACAACAAACCTTCCTCTATCCGACTACAAACGCACCTACAAGTATGTCGGAGAAGCGTAATCTACCCGCTCCTTCTATGTAAATTCTCTCTCAGCATACTTCACTACTTCACTTGACTGATCGCTCAGTCGCTTTCACTGTCCGAGGCTGCTGTTGAGAGTCCGTCCGCGATCCATTGCCACCGTAGCTCGGGGGACTATCACACGTGGGAGAAGCCTCGGATCGGATCTAGTATCGTCATGCCGACTAACTTGCCATGAACTTTCAGCTTTCGGGCCCGTGACTTGGAGTAAACTTGCCTCGAGAATCCGGGCCGGGCCCCGGCCGACCGTCCGACCGCCGACCGGGTCACCGTCGGGGCGGCCGGGCCGCGCCGGTCACTGGGGCCCGGGGGGGCCGGTTTACAAGCCGCGCCCGAGGCTCTATAGAGGGGGTGTACTTTCAAATCGGACCCCTCCACGTGAAATTGAGAGCGGGCATTTCAAATAGAACCTCCAATCCTCCTGCTCCGCTCCAAATCCCCTCGAAATCAAGCGCCATTCGAGCAGCATGTCAGGCAACAGATCCAAGCGAAGGCGCGATGCCGAGATGCACGAGAGCAGACCCTCAAGGCAAAGGACGCGTCAAGGACATGTCCAGGATCTACATGCCCCACCTGAAGAGGAAGCGGCGGAGCTGAACCCATGGAATGCTCGAGGGAACGAGAGGGAGATCGCCGCGACGGAGGTAACGGAGATGAGGAAGAGACTACAAGCAGCGCGAAAAAGCCGCGATGGAGAGAAGATAGCCTTTGCAGAGATAGATTTAGCGAAGGCGAAGCTGGGAGCAGCGAACAAGGCTGGGGACGAGAGGGTGATCGCGGCAGCAAAAGTCGAGGTCGCGGAGGCGAAGCTGAGAGGAGAGGTCGAGGTCGCGGAGGCGAAACTGGGAGAAGCGAACAAGGCTGGGGACGAGAGGGTGATCGCGGCGGCGAAAGTCAAGGTCGCGGAGGCGAAGCTGAGAGGGGAGGTCGAGGTCGCGGAGGCGAAACTGGGAGAAGCGAACAAGGCTGGGGACGAGAGGAAGATCGCGGCGGCGAAAGTCAAGGTCGCGGAGGCGAAGCTGAGAGGGGAGGTCGAGGTCGCGGAGGCGAAACTGGGAGAAGCGAACAAGGCTGGGGACGAGAGGGTGATCGCGGCGGCGAAAGTCAAGGTCGCGGAGGCGAAGCTGAGAGGGGAGGTCGAGGTCGCGGAGGCGAAACTGGGAGAAGCGAACAAGGCTGGGGACGAGAGGAAGATCGCGGCGGCGAAAGTCAAGGTCGCGGAGGCGAAGCTGAGAGGGGAGGTCGAGGTCGCGGAGGCGAAACTTTCGCAATTTTTTTAGCTCCCTAATCTCTTACCACGAG